AAGTAACGACAATGATTACTGCATACAGTCTTACAGAAAATCAAGCAATACTTAAATTAACGACAATGATTACTGCATACAGTCTTACAGAAAATCAAGCAATACTTAAATTAACGACAATGATTACTGCATACAGTCTTACAGAAAACCAAACAATACTTAAAGTAACGACAATGATTACTGCATACAGTCTTACAGGAAACTAAACAATACTTAAAGTAAGGACAATGATCACTGCATACAGTCTTACAGAAAACCAAACAATACTTAAAGTAACGATAATGATTACTGCATACAGTCTTACAGGAAACTAAACAATACTTAAAGTAAGGACAATGATCACTGCATACAGTCTTACAGAAAACCAAACAATACTTAAATTAACGACAATGATTACTGCATACAGTCTTACAGAAAACCAAACAATACTTAAAGTAACAACAATGCTTACTGCATACAGTCTTACAGAAAACCAAACAATACTTAAATTAACGACAATGATCACTGCATACAGTCTTACAGAAAACCAAACAATACTTAAAGTAACGACAATGATTACTGCATACAGTCTTACAAAAAACAAACAATACTTAAAGTAACGACAATGATTACTGCATACAGTCTTACAGAAAACCAAACAATACTTAAAAGTAATGACAATGATTACTGCATACAGTCTTACAGAAAACCAAACAATACTTAAAGTAATGACAATGATTACTGCATACAGTCTTACAGAAAATCAAACAATACTTAAAGTAATGACAATGATTACTGCATACAGTCTTACATAAAATCACACAATACTTAAAATAACGACAATGATTACTGCATACAGTCTTACAGAAAATCAAACAATACTTAAAGTAACGACAATGATTACTGCATACAGTCTTACAGAAAAACCAAACAATACTTAAAGTAACGACAATGATTACTGCATACAGTCTTACAGAAAACAAACAATACTTAAAGTAACGACAATGATTACTGCATACAGTCTTACAGGAAACTAAACAATACTTAAAGTAAGGACAATGATTACTGCATACAGTCTTACAGAAAACCAAACAATACTTAAATTAACAACAATGATTACTGCATACAGTCTTACAGGAAACTAAACAATAGTTAAAGTAAGGACAATGATTACTGCATACAGTCTTACAGGAAACCAAATAAAATCGCTATGTTTTTCGTTTTAAGTGTAGAAGGATAGGACAAAAGACAGAAAATGTAAGTTAAAACTTTCTATTGTACATTATATGTTACGTCAGATATGACCATTTGGAAATTATCTTTAATTTGTTCAACGAGTTAATAGAAGGAAAGCTATAATAAATAAACTTAGCATTCCGAAAATTGTTTAATCTCGAAGTTTAAGTTCAGGGGAGGTCCAGTTCAATCTACAGTTTAATCAACGTGTGTTATTGGGTTATACTTTAATCAACGTGTGTTATTGGGTTATATTAGTTTCGGAGAATCCAGTGTGTAGGTTTTCATCATAGTGACTACAAAGCACGTTAACACCAACAGTATGTTTGATACTTTTCACTATGATATAGGTCCAGCTTATCTCTCTTTGGTTAACTTGTGTTCAGTGTTACTGATGAGGAGTGGAATTCTCCGAAACTAATATAACCCAATAACACACGTTGATCAAAGTGTAGATTAAACTGGACCTCTCTTGAACGTAGACTTCGAAATGAAAGAATTTTCGGAATGCTAAGTTTATTTATTATATCTGCTCTATAATGTGAAGAACTGAATAGTGGCCAATGACACTTTTTCTTCACTTCACTTATCCAGTTTATAGGGTTTTTCCCATAGTGACTACAAAGCACGTTAAGAAGGAAAACCACGTTACATCCTGATTTACACGTTTACAACCAATAGTTTCTTGACACATATTATCTCTAAGGATGACCAAATCAGTGAATAGATGGACGTCACATGGTATTAAGTTTAGTTATTAGTACTACTACTACTACTACTACTACTACATCTAGAGATGAGTGTGAATGGTGAACGATCAGTCTAGAGTGAAATAGGGTGACGATGGGAATTACATTTATAAAATTTGGTAATAAATGTAAATTCTTCAAGACAGAACTCTGCTGTTACTTAAGTTAAGACCACAAATACTCGGAATATCATTAACAAAATTAGTTATGTAAAAATGGAGGCGCATAGAGACCGCTTGACAACATCCTGTACAGGAAGAGGGATCAGAACTAGTAACTCTTTCATCATTAAACAACTAATACTGATGTTAGTAAGCTGTAGGAAATTTTAAGTATTAAGAGACGAGGTTCTCATTGAGTGATTATATGTGATATCGTGAAAAGCCATTAAATTTGCGGCGTTTGAACCAATAGGGACCGGGTCATATTCAGGCAACGTATGCTTAACACCAATTACAAGTTCACCTAACACCTAAGGGCCGCACACAGGCTTAATCCTCCTTCCTTTCCCCGCCGTTCCAAGTTCAAATCTGCACGTAATTCATGAAATTCGTTACCTGTCATTAAATTCATAGACTATGACTATGCTTTTCATCCTTTTCCTTCCCAGACGCGTTACTCCGACATCAGATTTTAGATAATAATTAAGTAAAGTAATCTTGAGAGATACGTCTCCTTTGAGAGGAAATTGACTCATTTCTGTAAGGCACCTTGTTTCATACTACGTTCAGTCCAAGTGAAAAAATTGACTCATTTCTGTAAGGCACCTTGTTTCATACTACGTTCAGTCCAAGTGAAAAAATTGACTCATTTCTGTAAGGCACCTTGTTTCATACTACGTTCAGTCCAAGTGAAAAAATTGAGTCGTTTTTGTCAGACATCTTGTTTGGAATACGCTGGTCGTCACCACACATAAGTAGAGTGGAATACACCGGTCGTCACCACACGTAAGTAGGGTGGAATACACTGGTCGTCACCACACCACACATAAGTAGAGTGGAATACACTGGTCGTCACCACACGTAAGTAGAGTGGAATACACTGGTCGTCACCACACGTAAGTAGAGTGGAATACACTGGTAGTCACCACACCACACATAAGTAGAGTGGAATACACTGGTCGTCACCACACGTAAGTAAGTGGAATACACTGGTCGTCACCACACCACACATAAGTAAAGTGGAATACACTGGTCGTCACCACACCACACATAAGTAGAGTGGAATACACTGGTCGCAATTTTACTAGATTGTTTTAGCAGCTCTGATACACAGGTTTCTTAACACAGGAAAACTACAAATTAATTAAACAATGCTAAAGATAAATAGCTTCATATCAACACAGGAAAACTACAAATTAATTAAACAGTGCTAAAGATAAATAGCTTCATATCAACACAGGAAAACTACAAATTAATTAAACAGTGCTAAAGATAAATAGCTTCATATCATGTAACAGATGTGGCCATTCATTACATAACATAGAAAAAACATGAATTACATGTGTTTATATATATATATATGAAATTCATGTTTATCAATTTTGTATTGTAGCAATACACCTTTTTTCGCAAAAAAAGAAAGAAATACTGGGTTTCGATTCCCGCTGTGGAATCCCATTGGGAATCCGCAGGTATCCCATTGTGTAACTTTGAGCTTAATAACAATAAACAAATAACAACTTTGTGGGTAAAAAACATCACAATACCAGAACATTTACTTGTGAACCAGCCACATATTCTAATTGTAAATGGAGTTTGATAAGTTCAATTAAGCCCAGTCACGAGAGGAGCGAGAAAAACTTATCTATACTAAAAATCATGCACGTGTGTGGTACCACTAATTGTTGTTGTTGTTGTTTGTTTTATTGCACAAAACATCAGGACTATCTACTAAAGCAGTCGCATGAAAAGGAAAGAGAAGATAATGAGTGTGACTTTCGTTTTTTCCTGAGGCAAAACTTGGTCAGTTTAATAGTAGAAACTGAATACGGCAGATGCAAACCGGTAACACGTGTTCAGCCCTATAGGTAAGTCATGATTGTTTGATCAATGGATAACCTATAGCTCGTTAATGACGCTTCAAAATAGGTGTTGCCTCATGACTGAGTAATGAGATCATGGGGTTATTGTAGTAAAGTCTTGGGTTTGTTATATTATCTTTATTTAGCAAAGCAAGGACGAGACGGCGCACATATATGACCCACAATACTTAACAATAGTGACACTAACTATCTTTGCCGCTGCGGCTTGACGAGTAAGCACAACCTGCTACAAATAAGCACGTGTTCATTCAACAGACCGTGTATCGTTCAGTCCATGAATATTTACTTATCTAGTTTGATACGCTCCACAGGTGTGACCGACGGAAAAGTTTCATTTGTATCACTGGTGCAATGACCCAGTGTATGTACCTCAGTAAGTATATTAAAGAACTGTGTAGGATAACCAATGAGCGACGTTGGTAATCTGGTGGGAATTAATACCGTTTGTGCTTCTACGTGTAAAGAAGAGATCTAATTTATCAGTTTATTAACCAAGGTTTAGCATCACAACAACTTTAAAATTATAAAATGTGGTCATAAAGTCAATATCTATCACTATTCATCCCCCCCACAAAACATATTACTATTCAACACCCCCACACAAAACATATGACTATTCATCTTCAAACATACAAGACATATTACTATTCATCCCCTCACACACACACACACAGAAAACATATTACTATTCAACACCCCCACACAAAACATATGACAATTCATCCTCACACACACAAGACATATTACTATTCACCCCCTCACACACACACAGAAAACATATTACTGTCCATCCCCCACACAAAACATATTACTATTCATCCCCTCACACACACACACACAAAACATATTACTGTCCATCCCCCCACAAAACATATTATTATTCATCCACATACACACACACACAGAAAACATATTACTATTCATCCCCTCACACACAAAACATATTACTATTCATCCCCCCCCCCCACCACACACACAAAAACGCAACTTACTCGGGAACTTTTGGAAGATTTTGGATCCAAATATGTTTTTAGCCTCATAAGGTAGAATGATGGAGACTCCTTAGCCATCACTTTCTCCTTCGAGGATGAAAAGAAAATACACAATTAATTAACAAGGACCGACGTAATAAAATATTTCTTTACGTCCTGAAGTTCACTTAGACAGTGTCTCTTGACTAGCTTCTACACTAATGATTTGTAGTTGTACCTGCTTAAGCTTCATGTAGTTAATGTTTATTTTTTGTCTTATATCATCAGCAAGACTATTGCTATAACAACAACATATAAGTCATCTTTACAAGTTTATGTAGATAGTGTTTAATGTCAGTGGTAAAATAACTGCTAATAATAAATATACTGGTCATAAATAAAGAGAACTAAAAAACGTTTAGTCCCAATAATGAATCATTAACCAGTTCAGTATTCATAATAATTAATCATTAACCAGTTCACCAGTTTCAATAATGAACCATTAACCAGTTAACTAATTTCAATAATGAACCATTAACCAGTTAACTAATTTCAATAATGAATCATTAACCATTTCAGTAGTCACAATAATGAATCATTAACCAGTTCAGGAGTCCCAATAATGAATCATTAACCAGTTCACTAGTTTCAATAATGAATCATTAACCAGTTCAGTAGTCACAATAATGAATCACTAACCAGTTCAGTAGTCACAATAATGAATCACTAACCAGTTCAGTAGTCACAATAATGAATCATTAACCAGTTCAGTAGTCACAATAATTAATCATTAACGAGTTCACTAGTCCCAATAATGAATCATTAACCAGTTCAGTAGTCCAAATAATGAATCATTGAGTAGTTCACTAGTTTCAATAATGAATCATTAACGAGTTCACTAGTCCCAATAATGAATCATTAACCAGTTCAGTAGTCCAAATAATGAATCATTAAGTAGTTCACTAGTTTCAATAATGAATCATTAACCAGTTTATCAAAGTAATCAAAATTCTGTTCTTAAGTTGTTAATATTTACTAAGTGCAACTGAAAGAGGTTCAGAACATCTGGTTATCTGTCGTGGACTCATGGTTCTCTAGCAAGAGCTCTTTAAACTAAACTTGCTACACATATATATATATATTCTATTACCATTTTGACCCGAGCTTTGACAACACATACGTACATATAATTCCATTACCAAGAGATCTTGACAAGCAGTCTAAATTTGGGCACACACACACACATATATATATATTACATGAATAAGAGTTCTACAAATAAAATGAATTCTTGGGTCATATACTCCATACTTATCAAGTGTATTTGACAGGTAAACACCATACTTGGTCACAGATCATGTCCCATTTCTTTTCATCATCATATTGTTTCAGGAGTTTGGCCTTGTCTGGTGGAAGATCCATGGATGCCTACAGATTTAAAAAAAAAATGGAGAAATTAGTATAACTTGTTTGGATCCTGCCACATCTGGTTGCTTTCGGAATTCAGAGATACGGTCAAGGCCAAGTTTATTCACACAATTCAAACATGGAAAGAAACACAGAAAAGCCTTAAACATGAAATGCTTGGCTTGTGGCGAAACTAATTGTTTTCTTTTTTTTTTTCTATTAGCTACTTTTTATCAAAAATGTCTACCGAGAGTGAAAAAGAATTTACCTTGTTTGAGATATCAATAAAATCAATATTACACGTTTTTACTTTACAACAAGAATGAGTGAATTTAAGGATCTGTGAGCTATTTTTTATAATATAAGGATAAAATAATTTGAATTAGTAATAATTATGAGTACCACATTTTCTACAACGTCCCTTATGTAGGCCAAGTTCGTAATATTAGGTTTACCATCACAAAAAGTACATGTGGTTTGTTTGTTTTGTTTTAATTTCGCGCAAAGCTACACGAGGGCTATCTGCGCTAGCCGTCCCTTGTTTGTGTTTGTTTTGAATTTTGCGCAAAGCTACACCAGGGCTATCTGCGCTAGCCGTCCCTTGTTTGTGTTTGTTTTGAATTTTGCGCAAAGCTACACCAGGGCTATCTGCGCTAGCCGTCCCTTGTTTGTGTTTGTTTTAAATTTTGCGCAAAGCTACACGAGGGCTATCTGCGCTAGCCGTCCCTAATTTAGCAGTGTAAGACTAGAGGGAAGGCAGCTAGTCATCACCACCCATCGCCAACTCTTGGGCTTCTCTTTTACCAACGACTAGTGGGATTGACCGTCACATTATAACGCCCCCACGGCTGAAAGGGCGAGCACGTTTTGGTATGACGGGGATTCGAACCCACGACCTTCAGATTACGAGTTGAGCGCCCTAACCACCTGGCCAGGCCGGGCCCGTAAGTGTGGTAATGGAGTTCAAACACACTTACGAAATATAATGATAACTTTTATATTGATTAAATTACTCTGTTAACACTATTTTTTATTGTATCCAAAAAGTTCAGATCTTTCTTATGCACTGTAATAAGTCACAAAACTAGATCACGAACAATTAATTAATTATACTGTTATGACAGCGGAAGTTACGCGACGCTGGGAGCATGCGCGCTGGAGTTTCTAGAAGGATCATGAATTATCGAGGAACTCCGCGAATGCCTTAGTGTTTGCCAGGCGC